AAAAAGTGCATCAATATAAATAAATTAAAGATGCATCAATAATCGTTTTATAATCGAATCGTAATCGTAATCGAATCGTGAGGTGCCCAAAGATTCCCACCCCTAATAACTAGGCTGCTCCTTAGAGCGTACCTCCCGTTCACTTACGTCCTACTTTGCCTGGACTTCCATTGTAACTCCTGGTCATTTCCCACCTACTTTCTCCAGTCTTACAATGTAACTCGCAGCCACTTACCATGTAATTCGCGGAACGTAAGGTGTAACTTCCGAATCATTTTAAGTATATTGAATGAAATAGTCTACTGTACAATATCAAATGCTTTTGCTCTTTGCTCATGGCAGTTGTGACAGTCATTTTTTTGTAAGTGTCAGCAGGCAAGCTTCACTCATATTCCAGGGATTTATTATGTTTTGTCTTATAGCCTACTTAATTGTATGATTTGGATTAAGAATAAGTTGAGAAATGGGTACATATTATGGAAATTGGCTCATAACAGGCCAGCTGGTATACAAAGCAAACTTACCTCTCTCAAATGCACATCTATGGAAGTCTTGTATTGTCATCCCAGGACGAATCACAAACAATACAGTCATGTAAAAATATACATCTATTTTTAAATGCACAATAATGAGTCATTCAGAGAGTTATAAAATGTTTTTATTATTTAATTACACAGAAACCACATGACAGGTGCTATTCTCTCATCCATACTCTGTAAGTACAGTAATGTAATTAGTGTGTAAGTAGCGCCTACTTTCCCTGTAATTAGTGAGTAAGTAGAGTCTACTTTCCCTGGAAGTACAGACCAACACTGGGGAACCGGGCTGGATTTTGAAGTTTGCACTGTTCTCCCCTCCTTAGTGTGTAAGTAGGATCTACTTTCCCTGTAATTTGTGTTTAAGTAGTAGAGCCTACTTTCCCTGGAAGTACAGACTAACACTGGGGAACTGGGCTGGATTATTAAGTTTGCACTCTTCTTCCCTCCTGAGTCTGTAGCTTGGCACTCACATGTTAACCCTTTAAACACAGTTAGTTCAATGCTTCACAAGGTAACAATATTACCAGAAAATAATACAAAGACGAATCAAAGTGTCCCTGACAAAAAATAACAGAGTTCCACTGGCTGTCTTATTCAAGTTCAAGTTCGGTTTTGTTCCTTCTGTTATAAACTGTTCAGATTAGTTTTAATCCTTTATTGTGACAAATGCACTTTTTAAGTCAGAAGTCAAGTGGAAAAGGTCATTGTGATACTACTAACACACTGGAGTGTGAAGCTCAAGTGATGGAGATGGAAGAATGGATGGGCTCCTGCGGATAAAAGGTAATCTTGATCCAACTCCTTGGGTCAAGGCAGAGATCAGGTTCATGGGTGGCTTGCCATCTCTCTCGTCACATAGAATATCAAATCTATATGTAATTTTCCATAGGATCTCAAAAACCTCACCTGTGTAGAAACAGAGCTATTACTATTTTGCATCATCAACTTCAATTGTTTTATGGCCATAATCAATATCACATAAATACATCACAGTAACACAAAGTGAGCAGATGAATAACTTTTAACTGTACAGTTCTCAGCATGGAATACTTAATCCTGTCTTTACATTTCACATAATGAATTATTAGCCTTTTAATCCATAACTTGTGATTATTAAGCATATTAATCAATTACAAATACTACACACTTCCTTTTGAACTACAAAGTTAACCCTATGGGCCTGAACGACGCATAGTGCGTCCAAATTCACACCTGTTCTTCTCTATGGATTTTCTCCGTGACCGTGTGTCATAGCGAGAAGCGACGCATATCACGTGAAACAGCGGAACTGTAGCTTGTCACTTGCACTTGTCAGTAGTCCAGTGTTTTCACAGCAAAAAAAAAAAAAAGATAAAGTTACACTAAAATTATGTATAACAGAGCTCTCATACCGCTTTGCACACACATTACTCTTGGATGGATTACTCGCGAATGCATCCCAACATGCTATAAATACAGATCAGTTGCCTACAAAATAAAAACCTGACGAATTTCTTTACAATCCATTATACACATCTTGTTATCAGTCACCTCATATAGTGAGGAATATCGCATCTTACCACGTCATAGCGAGAAGCCACGCATATCACGTGAAACAGCGGAACCGTGGCTTTCCAACAAGATCAAGCACTTGTCAGTAGTCCAATGTTTTCACAGCGAAAAAAAGAGATAAAGTTATGTATAACAGAGCTCTCATACCGCTTTGCACACACATTACTCTTGAATGGATTACTTGCGAATGCAGGCTCGCACAGAAATGCCACACATATCACATGAAAGCGCAGGACCAGAGCTTTTCAGTGATACCACACACATCATTGTGCTGTCATCCCATCACGCTAAAAGTACAGATCAGTTGTCTACAAAATAAAAACCTGACAAATTTCTTTACAATTGATTATACAGATCTTGTTATCAGTCACCTCATATAGTGAGGAATATCGTATCTTACCACGTCTTAGGCTTGCGTGTGTTTCTCCCTGTCTATCCACATTTGTAGTCCAGCTTTCAAGATGCAAGTATCTTCATATTGTCCAGTTGACACTCCATCAAACTTTGTATGACAAGACCAATGCACTTCACCTTTGCGCACCCAGACAACTGAGGCCTAATTATGCATGCGTGACAGGGCAGTAGTCACCATATAAATTGAGGAGGACATGTCCCCCCCAATGCCCAAAATGCCCCCCCCCCCCCATTTTTTTTTTACTGCAAAGTGGCAAATATTATCTTGGAGGACATCATTGCACTTGGTTGACTATTTTTCTACTTTTTTAGATGTAAATATTGCATGTTTCTTTCAGATAAAACACATTTTTGACTTGTGAATGAGTCAATGGTATTTCTTGCAATAATGAAAAGATACTGTCAATCATGTCCACCTGGCACAAACCACATGTTTTGGACAACTGTGAAGTGACAGAATGTCCCACCATCCTGGTTCTTATATTGCCAGATTCCAGTGTGTCTCCCCTTTTCACATATGGCAGAATATGTCAACTTCCAACTTGCTATAGTGAGATACATGTAAAAATGTAAGAATTTAGTAACACAGATTTGTATTTTTCATTGATATAAAAATTAATATAAAATACAGGCACATAGAAGGACATGTAATGATGGCAAATCTAGATAGCTCAGATTGTCCTGAAAAAAAAACCCCAAAACAAGATATAGCATGTGTATGTAGACTTTATAATGACTGTGATAGAAGTAAAGAAGTAAAGGCAGTAAAAAATACCCCAAAAAAGGCCTAGGGCCCATAGGATTAATGTTTTTAACCATTTGTTTAACATTTTTCAACTTAACTATGAGTAACAAAATCATGTATGCTATTAACCCACATATTTGTGCTCTTCCTGATGTTCCTACCATTTTTTCCCCCATTAAAGGGTTTTTTTTTTCCTAAGGACAGAGGGATGTCGTATGCTGTAAAGCCCTGTGAGGCAAATTGTGATTTGTGATAATGGGCTTCATAAATAAAATTGATTGATTGATTGATTGATATTATGAAAGTGTAGGCTACACCAGTACACACACACTGTGTTATGCTTGACTATTCATCGTTAATAACATCCATAACCAACTGTAATGGTGCAAATGTATACAGTACACTACTAACACAAATACAAACGGCAACGACCTCGAGGCAAAACAACTGCAGCACTTTACAATTACGAGTAGGTCGTGTAACAGTAATTGCAAGAGCAAGTTAGTGTGGTATAGAGGGAAGCACACACTTTACATGGCGGGCGCCGATATCATCTGCAGAACGAGCTAACATCGCTAGCTGCGTTAGCATCAACTCACCAAGATGTTGATAAACGCGGTAAAACTCCCATCACACAGGTCCTCGGTTCCTCCCTCACATCTCCTGCGAGTATCTTGGAGTGTTAGGGCCGTTTCATAGTCGAAGCAAAGGCGCGCAGACGCTAACGCATTGTGATGCATTGAGATGCATTGGCCGCCATGATGCGTGCTTGCGTCTCAAAATGTGTTGTCCATTTTTTTGGTACGCAATACAGCGACGCGTGTAATACCATGCCTTGCCATTGGTGGTGATAATGCAAGCGACGTACTGGAAATTAACCACTTTTTGTTATTCACAGAAGAAGCAGGTATGAAATAGGTATGAAATATGGCGGGTGAGGAGGAAAAACTGTGCAAACTTGTATGGGCACACCCCCATTTATATGACAGTTCTAGTGCCCTGCACTCTAATAAAATAGCAGTAGAATATGCGTGGAAAGAGATAGTGATGGCAATGGGAAAGAGCATCAAAATGACTGGAAGACCGTAAGGGACAGATTTGGATGTGCACACAAGGAGGAGGGAATCCCATGCACACCTGGGATTCCCTCTCCTCTGTTGGGCCGGCCAGCTGATAAATGACGTCCTCTTCAGTAGCCATTTTGATCTCAATATCAAATATGAATATCACCTGTAATGTACCGGTGACTCTGCTACCCCATACTGCGCAAGCGATGTATTGCATTTGAAGTGTCGCCCCACGTCGCTTGCGTTCAATGTTTTGACTATGAAAGGAAGCGCATCGCTCGCGTTGCTTCCTCGTGTTGCGTGCGTCAACTATGAAACGGCCCTTAGCTTTGTGTTTACATCAACATTTCTCACCATAGACGTGTAATTTCACTCGTTTCTCTTTGACGTCTTCTCGTGTCATTCCTGCGCCTATGAGTACAAGCTCCTCGCTGAGAGGTGGGAATTTCTACCTTTAACCAATGGGAAGTGTGCACCTCTCTGTTTGACCAATGACAGCTGGTCTAAGCTGAGTGACTGTGATTGACACCTTGTTTGATCAATAAGACTATGCCATAGCGATGTAGTTAGATTGACAGGTAAAAACAAACAAACAAACAAACAACTGAGGGATGATACGGGAATATTGAGTTTATTTCTTACAATATTCCCGTATCATCCCTCAGTTGTCTTCAAGTTGCTTGAATGTTTGAAGAGACAAAGGAAGGAGTGCAGCGGCGTTCAAAAAGGTAAAAAATTTTAAAAGCTGCAGGTGCTCTTTGGTCCTCGGCGAGGAAGCATAATGACGAAGGAGAAGAAAAGGCGGTCCAAGGCACTCTGACAATTAAAAAGCTTTATTAAACAGGCTAGTTCACATAGAACAGATAACATGTTTCGGCCTGAGTCGGCAAAAAAAAAAAGGCCAATTCAGGCCAAAACATGTTGGTAATTTTTATCTTGCTTGAATGTTTGTTTGTTTGTTTTTACCTGTCTGTAATTTGTGAGTGTTCGCTGTGCCAGTCTACAGGAAGTCAGTCTCCTTCAGAGCAGACTGTTGGTCAGCAGACTGGACATCAGTTCCATGGTTCCCTCCTAGTCATACAGAGGACAACACATCCCCCGATACCTCCCTCTCCCTCTCTCTTTCCTTCCTCTCAGCTCTCTCCACATCCATGACAGTGAAAAGAGGCTCCTGGGCTGTGACTGAGTCCTGCCGGAGTTTATTAGCAGTGAAAGGTGTCTTGATGAAGGCCTCAGAGTAACGTCTCTTCAGTTCTGGGTCTGGACAGAATAGGTACTCATACAGAGCTCCAGCCAGAGTCCCGCCCAGAGTTGGACCCACCCAGTACACCTAAATCACACACACACACACACACACACACACACACACACACACAGAAACAGTGATCACAAGCGAAAAACATTGAGCATTCTGACACTGCACATATCGAAGTCTAGACTTTAGTTTTTAAGACAAACAGCAGTGTCATAGTTATCAAAATGAGAATTTAAAATGATCAATAAACCGTAAATCTTTCTTTTTTTTCACACAAAGATACACAATACTCATGTGAAGTCAGAAAACCAGTGAAAAGAGCTGTGGAATATGACTCACAGAGAACTCTTACTCTCTGCTCCAAACAAAAAGTCCATAGTGGACAACTGCAAAAAACTGCAGGTGCATTCAGTGGTACTGTATTTACCATCTAATAATCAACACTCCCAGAGTCACTGTAAGAAGAGCATTATGAATTCCTATAGTGAAGTAAGTTGAAGATAAATGAGACCTTAGATGATGGATCCAAATGTTTCAATTCTGTGCATGGGAAAAAAATTGCATAACTGCAAATGCTATATATATACAGTACAGGCCAAAAGTTTGGACACACCTTCTCATTCAATGCATTTTCTTTATTTTCATGACTATTTACATTGTAGATTCTCACTGAAGGCATCAAAACTATGAATGAACACATGTGGAGTTATGTACTTAACAAAAAAAGGTGAAATAACTGAAAACATGTTTTATATTCTAGTTTCTTCAAAATAGCCACCCTTTGCTCTGATTACTGCTTTGCACACTCTTGGCATTCTCTCGATGAGCTTCAAGAGGTAGTCACCTGAAATGGTTTTCCAACAGTCTTGAAGGAGTTCCCAGAGGTTTTAGCACTTGTTGGCCCCTTTGCCTTCACTCTGCGGTCCAGCTCACCCCAAACCATCTCGATTGGGTTCAGGTCCAGTGACTGTGGAGGCCAGGTCATCTGCCGCAGCACTCCATCACTCTCCTTCTTGGTCAAATAGCCCTTACACAGCCTGGAGGTGTGTTTGGGGTCATTGTCCTGTTGAAAAATAAATGATCGTCCAACTAAACGCAAACCGGATGGGATGGCATGTCGCTGCAGGATGCTGTGGTAGCCATGCTGGTTCAGTGTGCCTTCAATTTTGAATAAATCCCCAACAGTGTCACCAGCAAAACACCCCCACACCATCACACCTCCTCCTCCATGCTTCACAGTGGGAACCAGGCATGTGGAATCCATCCGTTCACCTTTTCTGCGTCTCACAAAGACACGGCGGTTGGAACCAAAGATCTCAAATTTGGACTCATCAGACCAAAGCACAGATTTCCACTGGTCTAATGTCCATTCCTTGTGTTTCTTGGCCCAAACAAATCTCTTCTGCTTGTTGCCTCTCCTTAGCAGTGGTTTCCTAGCAGCTATTTGACCATGAAGGCCTGATTCGCGCAGTCTCCTCTTAACAGTTGTTCTAGAGATGGGTCTGCTGCTAGAACTCTGTGTGGCATTCATCTGGTCTCTGATCTGAGCTGCTGTTAACATGAGATTTCTGAGGCTGGTGACTCGGATGAACTTATCCTCAGAAGCAGAGGTGACTCTTGGTATTCCTTTCCTGGGTCGGTCCTCATGTGTGCCAGTTTTGTTGTAGCGCTTGATGGTTTTTGCGACTCCACTTGGGGACACATTTAAAGTTTTTGCAATTTTCCGGATTGACTGACCTTCATTTCTTAAAGTAATGATGGCCACTCGTTTTTCTTTAGTTAGCTGATTGGTTCTTGCCATAATATGAATTTTAACAGTTGTCCAATAGGGCTGTCGGCTGTGTATTAACCTGACTTCTGCACAACACAACTGATGGTCCCAACCCCATTGATAAAGCAAGAAATTCCACTAATTAACCCTGATAAGGCACACCTGTGAAGTGGAAACCATTTCAGGTGACTACCTCTTGAAGCTCATCGAGAGAATGCCAAGAGTGTGCAAAGCAGTAATCAGAGCAAAGGGTGGCTATTTTGAAGAAACTAGAATATAAAACATGTTTTCAGTTATTTCACCTTTTTTTGTTAAGTACATAACTCCACATGTGTTCATTCATAGTTTTGATGCCTTCAGTGAGAATCTACAATGTAAATAGTCATGAAAATAAAGAAAACGCATTGAATGAGAAGGTGTGTCCAAACTTTTGGCCTGTACTGTATATATATATATATATATACACACACACACATATTATGTATATGAACAGCCTCTGGTTGATAGAAAAATATAATATAAGTGTATTTACCCAGTGGTTTTCCCAGCACCATGTGACCATGGCTGGGCCAAAGGTTCGGGCAGGATTCATACTGGCTCCAGTGTAGGGAATCTGGCAGAGCAATCACAATCAACCTTATACCAACCTCATGATCACAAGAAGCAGGAATAAGCAGGACACTGACACGTTTAGTAAACAGTAGACTGTAAATAAAAAATTTGTAATTTATGCTGTCTGTGAGAGCCCAACACACTGCAAAAAGAATACATATGCAAATACCGTAAAACTTCAATTAAAAGCTTAGTCTATACTAACCACTGGAAACAACCCAGGTATTTAACCAATCAATCAATCAATTGCTTTGAGATAACTATGACCTGGATGAATGAGAATATCCACAGGCATGTTGCAGAGGTTAAATACCTGGGTTGTTTCCACACCAGTTTGTCAGACTAGTTCCAGCCTAGTCTGACAAGCATGAACTGATGAAGCCTCTTGGATAAGAGGTGAAACGTCTTCTAAGACAAACCAAGTCCAGCTGCGTTCAATTCAATTGCTCTGAGATAACTATGACCTGGATGAATGAGAATATCCACAGGCATTAGTCTCTTTAGCTAGCTCAGTGTGGCTACACATTTTGACAAATAAAGACCTGTTTCAATTAGACTGGTTAATTAGGCCAGTTAGACTTCTGGTTGCCAAGCAGTTATTTTTTTTCAATGTAAGTTCTTTGAATGTTAAAAACTAGGTTGTTGGCTGCCTCAAATTATGTGTCCATTCCTCAATTACTCTGTAAGTTATTCATATTCCTTTAGTCCATATGGGTCCTCAGATCAAAAGAATCAAAAGGGTTAAAATGAATCCATGTTGTGAATATTGTTTGAACAGGATAAAGTGGTGTTGTGTCGGTATGGCAGGTGCTGTAATCTTCGGATGATGTAACTCTCTCTCTCTCTGATGTGCTGTCTGTTGGAGCTAGACCAAATGAATGACTGATAATTTATATAATATCGGAGGCATCATTTTTATACATTAAATTTTTATACATATATTCATACTGGTTTAACTAAAAACGATTGTATTTCCTTATCTTTGCTGAGCAACCATTTTGTGTGAAAGGAATTAAAGGCCTGTCCTTAATATAGGACCGTTGATTTTGGTGATTTGAGCAAATAATAGCCTGGGCAGTTAATTGAAGTTTTACAGTAGACAGTATCTTCTCCAACCAAACAACACATGCCAGCATTTAGAAAACATATTCTTCACCAACTTCACGACATACAAAAACATCAATTTGACTACACATGAGCAGCATCTCGAAAAAGCGCTGCAAGAAACTCCCAACACAATGGATAGCATCAGGGTGCACATGGGTGGAACACACTTCGTTGCCATGGTTTGTGGCTCATGAAGTAAATGAAGTCTGCTATCATTGTCCTTGTGATTATATTCAAAATATATTTTTTTTTCTTCCACTGTAGTGTTTCAAATGCACACTTGGCTTTGAAGCCTATTTGACATGGTGGCCAAACCATGGACTTAAAACTTCCAGGCCTGTCAGGCCTGTCAGGCCTGCTTTTATCTTAATTGCTGTATTTCCCTGTGTATGGGCATGCCACACTCCACCCTTTCTACATTAGAAATGGTTCGAAATACAGCTGCTAGATTGACTGGAAAAAAGATAAGACAATATGGCATTATATTTGTGTCCTAAGTCGCGCGAGCGGATAACACATCTGCACGCGCGCAGATCTCTCTCTCGTGTAAATTATTTCGTGTCACGCGCGCAGATTTCAACTGCCGCGTGCACTTGTTTGATCTTCGCGCACATATTCAGCAACAGAGTGAAGCAGAGGCAGGTGCGAGCGAGTAAAAAACAGCAGCGACACACACAACAACACTGTGCAGCTGCTTTGCGAGCGCTGGCTCGCTCCTGCTCTCGTTCTCTCTCTCCCCTGTGCTCGCTCGCGGTGGAGTTCTGCTCACTCGAAGCAAGGACTTTTGACACTTTGGGGGCGGAGACCAAGGCTGACCCCGGCCCTCTTATGATTGATGTGATTGATATGATTCCGTCACAGACAGGAAACTCAGTGGGTTTTTTTTGGTTTGTTTAGCTAACTAGCCTGGTAAGAAGCTACACGCTGACTATGAGGGAGAAAACCACACATGGAACTTTCTGTGGGTTGGGGAACTGCAATAGGCTACATACTTCCATGGGAAATACGGGCTAGAGTGATGCAACATTAAAGTGATGTATTAATTCTCATCTATTAAAGGTAGAGTCTGGAGTTTTGTTCGTTGCAGTTTGTAAACAAAACATTCAAACTGGGCCCCTCTTCTCTGGCTCAACTGTGTAGCATCCTGCCCCAGACAGCAGCAACAGCAGTTGTCGGGACCGTAAAGGAAAGGAATTACAGTCCGAGTGAAGCGCTGGAGCCATGGGCCGATATCCCGCCGTCACCGGTGACGGGAGCCTCCAGCGTTTTGTTGCAACGGGCAGGAGGGCCGTTATGGTGAGCTGGGAAGCGGGTGTTAGCGGCGGATGCTAACCGCTACCGCTAGCCGAAGTTAGCATCGAGCTAGCTCACCACAACGGCCCTCATACTTGTTACCAGTCGAGGCTTTAGTTGTCGGTGATGGCCGGGTATCCGCCCGTGGCTCAAGTGCTTCACTCAAACTGTATTTCTTTTACTTTGCAGTTCTGCTGCTGTGAGAGAGAATGGACTTTTAAATTGATTATTATTATTACTATTATCAGTATTAATGTGTTGATGACAGAGCTCAGGTGAAGCTACGTGCAGCAGAGCAGGAGGGCTACTAGCCCCACTAGCTGTCCCGGATGTTAGCGAGTGCTAGCACGTCTCCCTTGGTCTCCGCCCCCAAAGTGTCAAAAGTCCTTGCTTCGAGCGAGCAGAACTCCACCGCGAGCGAGCACAGGGGAGAGAGAGAACGAGAGCAGGAGCGAGCCAGCGCTCGCAAAGCAGCTGCACAGTGTTGTTGTGTGTGTCGCTGCTGTTTTTTACTCGTTCGCACCTGCCTCTGCTTCACTCTGTTGCTGAATATGTGCGCGAAGATCAAACAAGTGTGCGCGGCAGTTGAAATCTGCGCGCGTGACACAAAATAATTTACACGAGAGAGAGATCTGCGCGCGTGCAGATGTGTTATCCGCTCGCACGACTTATGACACAAATATAACGCCATAAGACAACATATCACTCCTGCTCAGGCTCAGCTGGATTGGTTACAAGTAAAATACAGAATTGGTTTTGAAATCAAGCTATTTGTTTTGAACACCTCAAATGGATGAGCTCCACAATACATTACTGACCTGCTAATACCATATTCCAGGTCACTCAGGTCATCCTCACTACAATTCCTCTCAGTACCTCACTCATACCACCAAAGGTGACTGAGCTTTTTTTTTGCTGGTCTAAGGTCTCTCAGGCTCTCCTGTTCCATCACTGACAACTTTAATTTTCAATTTAAATATCCATCTTTTTTTCACCTGCTGTTAGTTCAGTTTGGGACTGCCCCGAGGCTTTTGTCCCCCAAGTCCCCTCTTAACTTACGTCTACTGTCCTCTTACTGCTAATACATATATTCCTATTTAATTATTTCAACTTTAGATTTTTTTCATCATGGCAGTTTTATTCTGTCTCCTAACATCCTTTTTTTTTTCTTTGATTTTTTCATGTTGGTTAGCATTTTTATTTTCAGTCTTGCCTTCTCTCTGTTACTGCTGTACTACATTATGTATTGTTGCTTTTGATGCACATTTTATTTCTTTAAACACATAAACCTTTATTGAGGCAGATCCTAACCCATCTTCCTTGACTGGAAAGCACTTTGGATCAACTCTAGTTGTGTTTATGTGTAACTGACTTGACAGTACTTGTCTTTCAGGCTGTCTCCTCAGGATTTGTTTCACTTTTCAAAGGTTTTAAAGAAAATGGCAATCATTCTCAACTGTTAGATGCAACAGAAACAGCTGACTTATTTTTCATGGCACCATAAGAATAAAATTAAGGGAATTCATCAACTTTTTTACTAAGACAATGTAATGCACCTTCTTGCTTATCATGTTAGTTTATAATAATTTAAAATATTTAGTCTGGTCATTGCTTCTTAGGCTTTTCTTGAGTCAAAGAGATATCCTTTAAAATGCTTCATAAGAAAGACAAGAATGTAATCATGTAACAATAATGCTGTAATTTCTAAGGGAAGTCTAAACCACTATGGAGAAAACTTGTCACAATTCATTGCGATTGATATCTACCTTCAATTTACATGACTTTGGAAAAAAGTATTGTTTGGTTTCACTGAATATGACAGGAATTCGTTCTCTACATTTTATGAAATTAAACACTGTACCCTGACTACGGAATATAAAAAGCTGTAAAGTCCCCATAGGGTGGGTGGGAGTGGAGGTGGATAGGTTCAACAAAGCTGGGACTTTTACCCAGGAGGTCCACACTCACTTCCTGTATGGATGATGAGCCAAACCATGACATTTTAGTTCAAAACCTAACCATGTGCTTTTGTTAATGTCTTGGTTCTCACATGCTTTTGTTGCCTAAACCTTACCAAGTGTGTTGCCCAAATATAACCACATGCTTTTGTTGACGAACTTAACCATGTGCGTTTCTTGTTGCCTTAACCTAACCATGTGCTGTAATTGTCAAAACGAAACTACATGCTTTTCTTGCATAAACCTAACCAAGTGCGTTTGCTGCCCAAATTTAACAACATGCTTTTGTTGCCTACAACTAACCACATGCTTTTGTTGCCTAAACCTAACAATGAACTTTTGTTGCCCAAACTTAACCACATGCTTTTGTTGCCTGAAACTAAACACATACTTTTGGTTCCTAAACTTAAGCACATGCTTATGTTGCCTAAACCTAACTGTGGTTTTTGTTGCAGAAACTTAACCACATGCTTTTGTTGACTAAACCCTACCATGTTCTTTCGTTGCCTAAACTTAATTACTTCTTTTGTTGCCTTAAACTTAACCACATGCTTTTGTTGCCCAAACCTAACCATGTCATTTGGTGTCTGAACCTAACTACGTGGGTTTCTTGCACAAACTTTACCACATGCTTTTTTTTGCC